CTTGTAGAGATACATCTGGATATGTAACATTTGTCGAATTTAAAAATCGGAAATTTGGCAATAATGCATGTTAAAATTAATGCGACATTAAAAACATGGTCATTTCCTAAAAGTGCGTAATTTTTAGAGACTTTTCGTTAAAACCGCAACTTCATAGCTCAATTTTGATGCCACTTACGGAATTTGCCTGTTTTCAACTTGGCAACGCTGTAGCGCGCGGGAAAAATTTCGGGTGAACTTGCCAATGCCGGAAAAAGGCGTGTCTTGTGATAGGGAACAACATATCCAACTCCGGGCAAAATCCAAGCGTAGGGTAAAATCGCCGATTTTGAATAACCCTCTTGATGGGCTTTTTCGGGCTTAAGGACTTGATTTTTGACTTTTTGAACGTTACCATCGTTTTCATCGCGAAAAGTTCTATGACTACACATTTTTTATTCTCAAATCCCTCACCCACGCAACAACCCCATTTAGTGTTTTTCTTCTTATGCTCAGATTTTGGTCGAGTCATCTGACCCTTATTTCTAATGTAATTTTGTGATGATGCTAAAATTTCGAGTTCATGTGCGAGGAATTAAATTACTTACTTTGTTGATCAGATAGTCCCTAGGTAGTTGACAGCAACATGCTGTCTCCGTTCCATTCTCCACAGAAAACAAGTTCGGCAATTTAATAAGCACCTAAGTGCATGATCAAGATAGATTTTCACTCCTCTTGTAATCTTACATTCACAAGCAGTAGTTGCTGCTAATTCAGACCCTGATAGAAGTTACGATCTTATCAATTATTGTAAACATCCACCACCGAGTAAGGAAAACGGAAAAACTTATATGTAGATCTCTTTGCTCCATTTGAGGTCATGTTGTAGTCACACTTAGTGTGGGTTTTAGCTTTGACGTGTGCGTTAATAATCGTTTAACTCATCCCTGTGCTTCTGATGAATATTGTCCCCTACTCCTTAACAGATTCTTGAATCGCAAGAAAATCATACATTGAAACCACCACATTGATAAATCATCACAGACCTACACTGCCGTGCTAAGGAAGAACGCTGTAAGAGCCTTCAGGCGTTGCCAAATTGCCTTCCTACGAATTTCCAAGAAAACTGTTGATTATTTTTCTTACAATTTTTAAGCGAATCTCACTAGCAATTCGATTTGGAGGATTTGAAAGTTTCAGGGAAAAATATTCATAATGCTCCTCAAAAATTAACATTTGATCGAAGGAAATTTGGCAACTCTAAAATATTCATACGGTGTTTTTCCTTAGCACGGCAGTGCAGCAGTGCTTTAGTTTGTTTTGCTGCGCAAGTTTTGAAGAATTCCTTGTTTTTATTTATAAGTAAGTTTGCCCTAATCTATTTTAGTCTTTAAGTAACATTAGGAGTTTCCATCAGGGGAGGGCTAATTATTATTGCCCTGTTAAATACCTATCCATTCAATTATTTGCCAGTAGATGTTATTTTAGCTGCCTTGGATGGAAGATTGCTAGAAATGCCACATATTTGCAACAAGGCAGTTTTGAATGATCACTACCTACATTACTTTATGCATGATACAAACCATTAAACCCCATCTGAATCTTCCGAAAGGAAATAATGACCTGGGTTTAAATACCTAAATAAATAAACAGTGAAACTTAAACCAACTTATTGTTAGATGCATACCTTTCAGAAAGTCAAAATCTTCTTGTAGGATTTTGACTCTAAAGGATAGGTTACTGATGTCTCCTTTCTGCAAAATGACTAATATTGTAATTTAGTGGTTCAAATACATTTTTTCAGCAACAGTCAAGGTTTCTATCTTTGACAAACAAAGTAGCTATGCAAACTGAAATGCAGCACACAACTTTTCAGCCGACTGGGTAAAAATTCTAATGAAAGTAGTGACGGTAATCTGTGGAAATTACATCATAAGTTTGGTTTTCTACTTTAATTTCATTTGATATCTGATATGTAGGATTTAAATTAATGATTTCACAGCCTCCTGTTACAATTACTGTAATTTGTGTAATTTAATTTTAGATCATGAATTATGACTATGTAAATAGATGAGTACATAAAGGAACTCTGGAGGTAATGAAAGCAGCATTGAATAACCATACTTCAATTTCAAGCATTTGTAGCATAAGCAGTTCCTGCTTCCTGCAGTTTTGCCCTCGAATGCAATGAAAAAGAAGGGTTGTGATTTGGGCCGAGATCGACCCCTCAATGGAATCGGGAAATTTGTGGATATTTGACGGTTGATGATGATTATGAAACGAAAATAAACGAGTTTTACCAATACTCACATTATTTGGCTGCGAAACAGGGGCCTAAACATGGCTTCTGAGCCCAAAATAGCTGAAAATTTGCGTTCTTCAAGGTTCTACATCATCATCAGATTTCACCCTGGACCCAAAGGGACGGGTCATGAGCTTCGAATATGATGTCAGGGACACCTAGGAACGTAACATATATGATCAACCGTCCCCTTTGGACCCAAGTTCAGAATCGAACTTTTCTATCTTCTTAACCCGAAAATGATGAAAATCCATTTTTTTTGCGATTCTACCTCATATTTTGACCTGAGCCCAAAGGAGACAGGCCATGAGCTTCGAATATAATGTCAGGGACACCGAGGCACGTAAAATACTGGAATATGACCGACCGTCCCCTTCGGACCCAGGTCGAAATCTAAGGTTGAACAGCGATAAACTCGAATTATCAGCTATTTTGGGCTCAGAAGCCAGGTTTAGGCCCCTGTTAAGGCTTAGAATATAATGTCAGGGACACCTAGGCACGAACATACTGAAATATGATCACGCCCTCTTCAGGCCTAAGTTCAAAATCGAACTTTTCCAACTTGTATGCATTGCACACCCTGTATGCATCATCAACCGTGGAATGCCTAAAATCCCGATTTCGGCCCAAATCGCAATCCCTCCTTCGAATTCGCGCCTCCCACGCAGCAAGTGGATGCTAGTGGAAGCGGGTATGGGGCTGGCGGGACCTGCTTCCCGTTTTTGGATGCGCATCCGCTTTCTACGTCGTACGTCAAACCAATGGACCACTAGACAAGGTGCGAATTTAAGCATTCTGATACATGTTTCTTAATCAGAATTTCACGTAGAACACGATTCGCGCGACGAAAATTACTGAAACCAACTCCTAACGGAGTTATTAACACTTTTATTTCACACTGGTTACGAGGAATTCGAACTGCCCGCTAACAAGAAACTCAAAGCTCTACGTGAGTCAAATCGCGCACTACAAGGGTTTCAGCAAGCCTCTCAATCGAGCAATGTTCATTTCCCACAAGTGTTTTTCAAACTATAAGTAATTTGCTATAGCTGAGCCAAAGCGTCAACATTGAGGCTGCCAGATTCTTTTATCGCAGAGACGTTCATGATAACGTTTAGTGCACGATGTGAATCACGTAGAGCATTGAGTTTTCATGAGCGGGTGGTTTCAATTCACGCACCAAGAATCATTAAATATCTTAGGAAGGAGTTGATTTCGGTAATTTTCGTTGTGCGCATCGCGTTTCACGTGGAATTTTGGTAAGGAAACATGTATCAGAATGCTGAAATTCGTACCTTGTCTAGTGGTCTATTGTCAAACTACCACCCCTTTCACCAAACTCATTACCAAAGTGGAAAGAGGACGCGACACTGGATGCGGGAAATAAAATACGGAAATCTCCGCATCCATTGCCGATTTTGGATGCGGAACCACCTGCATCCACCGATAAAATATGACTCACATTGCTAATTGTTATCATACCATAGACGTATAACACACTTGATAGGGACAATACACCGGGATTTTCTGCTTGACGATCCGGTCTCAACGGGGCACCCCGGAAATCAAGCCGCAGTTATGCGTTTCCGTGGCTGGTGCTTGTTCATGTCTTTGGGTTCGGGATACGACGATCGGCATTCTTGGCGCCTCGCTAAGTTCCGGAAATCCTCGGCCCGGCTAGGTTTGTCCCCCGCGAGCTCCCGCTGCCGATCCCGGTCCACTTCCTGCGAGTTATAATTTATGCAGCCCGCGACTCGGCGCGACATCCAAATTTTCGCGATTTTCCGGTTCAGATCCTTGATTCCCGGTTTTCCCCCGGTTCATACCCATTCCCAGGTTTCTCCCGGTTGCTGAACACCCTGTTATATCTGCCCACCGAAGCAAAATTGACCCTTTCAAACTAAAAAAAAAATTTAAAAAAAAAATTAACACCTTAATTTTTCCACTTATTCCAAATAGTTTGGCTGATGGTATGGAACGGCGGCAATTGATGACGACCTTCTGTTCATTGAATCATGCATTCTCATGCTCTGAAATTTCATGTCGCTGTTAGTTGCAACTTTTTGGTCTCTATTTTTTTTTCTTTCCTCCTTGGAACTCGGAATTTGCCGCCCCTTATGCCCTTCTAGGGAAATCCGGGCCTAGATATTAAGTTGCACCTGTAAGTAATGATCTAGGTTCAAACTTTTACAAAAAGTGGGTGAAGTGAAAAAAAAAAATGAAGTAAAAATATGAAAGGCATCTAGAAACACCTGAAAAAAGGAAAACCGCAGAAACGCAGTAAATCAAATAGAACTACGGGCAGGTATTTTTCATTGAACGCAACAAAAGATGGGATGCTGATTTAAGGGAAAAGGACTTGCGTGCTGAAAAAATTCTATCTCGGCGCCAATGCGATCGATTTGTGTGCGGGACTCTGTATTCGGAGCTAAGAAATTCCAACCGAGACTTTTCGATAACTCTTTACATCATAATCATACACAAAAACATCACTGATATTTCACACTGCTTTGTTCTTCAGTACCTTCAAGGACAATGAAACTGCCAGGTAAGCGCTAAGCTTCAACCAAATTCATTCAGTCTAGGTAATCGTATGAGAAGGTTCATTTGTCTGTATGTCTTAAATGTAATATACCCATTTAATAAACACTCACACAGAGAAATTAAGAACAAAAAGAAAAAAGTTGATTGAAATCTTTTAAAAGACTGGTGAACACACCTTGTTTCTTCGTCTATCACTGGAGTAATTGAACCGGTTCTTGAACCATACTGTGCATAGTATGGATCTTCATAAGTGGCTGTGGCAGATGGTACATACCCTGCTGTATAGGCTCTAGGTGGGATGGTCCCGCCTCTCTCTGGGCTAGACAGGTAGCCAGCATCTCCATGAAGCCGATCTAAGAGCATAACTAGAAGTTACTAATAAAACATCGTAAAAATGTGAATTGAGGACTCATGTCTTAGCACGAAAGTCATCATATAACATTACTTTCAAATGTCATTCATGAACGGGCTAATTATTATGCAACTCAATTCTCAAAGAGATTTTATGTCAACTTGGCAAGTGGCAAAAGGGCTTAATACGTTCACTGCGAAGCCAATCAGGGTGAACTAAAGGCAGAGGGCTAATTCAAAGACCCACACCAGTGTTGTCAATTTTCTCTTCTAAACTGTAAGCTTCGCTGATCACAATATTGCTCAAAGTGGTGTGATAACAGGGAGCGCTCTCCCTAAGTAAGTAAAGAAGTAGAAGAAAAGGTGTAAGTTTATGAATATGAATGATTCGGATAGTGACGAATGTGTTTTATTTGAACTATGGCTATTGATGCGTCGTCTCGAACTCTCCGCAATTATATTTNTGGGGGGGGGGGGGGAGAGAAGGAAGGCGACAGGATCGTCGCCGGTTAGGTCTTAAGAAATTTCTCAGAAATTTGGAAACGGCGTACAGATAATCGTTAATTCGATAAAAAAAACGATGGAGGTTCGGCGTGAAATTTCTTACAGTTGGTTAATTTCCAGCAAAAGGGGTCTTTCTCTAGGACGAACGCCAAAATGTTGAGACAGCGCTTCATAACCATACACATTTTCCTGATATAACACCGCTCTAGGCAATCTTGTGGTTATTTGAGCTTGAACAAACGATTTCGTTATAATCGGCGAAATTGATAACACCGGTGGGTGTCCTTAAACCGCCCTTCTTCCTCTATTTTTACGGCATCATTCGTTGGTCGCTATGCGCCTAAACGGTCATTTACCGTTTTGCACGGCGAGTAGTCATGGCGCTGGCATATGACAGTGGTGCTGTTTGCGAGCTTCCATAAAATTAATTTTTGGAGTGCTACTGACGTAGGTGCTTAACGGATAGAGAGTTTTGTGGCGATCGGTGGAAACCGTAGTTCCAAATACCTTGATACAGGAAGTATGGACATGATGCCCCTCCATTTTCATGGAGGTCTTCGGACCCAAAAATGGCGGCACTTTGTTTTGGTTTTTGAGGATAGGAGGGTGGTCATTACCATTTTTGAACCACCGATTGCGCTTGCTGCCAACCTGACAACATCTAAGATAATTGTTCTCGAAAGTAGCCCACAATTAGCCGTAAAACTATGTTGATAAGTCGTAATAATGCATTTGAGTAAATTTCTTGTTGCGATATGCAAAAACAGGGTGTTTAGGAATTTTCAAAAATAAAATTCCCTGACATTTCCCCCACAAAAACGGCCAAAGACCAGGGAAAATTTTAAAATTACCTGACACAGAAAAAATAATTCCCTGATATTACCCTGACAAAAAGAAAAAAACATTCCTTATTTTCGACATGGTTGAACTGATTAGATGTAAGTGAAAGTTTTTTCATGTTTTAAGAATATTATGTAATAAATAGTGCAAAAGTCTAAACTTATGCGAAATATGTTTGCCTCATTTTTTAAAATTAAAAAGACATCAGTAGAAATTTTGCTATCAATCCCATTTTACTGAAATTTGATTCGTCATCAATTTGCCAAAAAAAAAAAAAAAAAAATCCCGCGTTTTTTACTTTCATGGCGTTTCCCTGTCACGAAAATCATTTCCACAAGATAACTCCGACAGTCCGACATGTCGAATTTTAGCGGATTCCCTGATGTGCTGGTTACACGCTCCATCAATTTCCGATCAAATGGTGGCTGGTGCGCATGCGCACCATCTACCATCAAATTTCTGCGGCCTGCAAAAATTTGATGGTAGATGATGGAACTGTGGGGCTCATTGTTCATCTGATTTCTACACAACCGTGCTTATTTCAATCAACACGCTGTTTTCATTAATTTTACTCATCAATCTGGATAACTTTCGACCGCCATTTTGGTCATCATTTTGATCGGAATTTGACGGATTTGAGCGTGTAACTAGGCCATAACGTTCCCTAATTTCCCTGAAACAAAATAATTCCGTGGCATTTCCCGGTTTTTCAGGTCGCTAAACACCCTGACAAAACACTACATTTTAATCCATTTTGTATTTATATTTAATTACAGCGTCCAACATTTTTGGATCCTGAGAGCTCCATAAAGCTCAAGATGGAGGAGCCAATCAAAACTCATATGCACTTGGCAAAACTGTATCTATCACGGTGTTCTAGGCCGTGTCAGAGGTGGGAAATGCTATAAAATTCATTAGAGTGAAATTTCATGAAATTTTTTGAAACCTTTGGGGATACATTCAGACGGCCACGAAACGCCCAACAACGGTAATCCTCGATTTTGAATTTTTCACGTCCCTCCCTTCTCCCCTCATCTCCCACTCTTTAACAGCTCAGTTTGCAAGATATAATAAATAATTAATCCATAAAAAATCTTAAAATTAATCGCATAATTAATCGTAATGCAGTAACGATATAGAACCTCCCCACAAGAAAAATAACCTCCGATTTCCAGCAATAGAGGTAAAACGTATTATCCATATTACCAATCACATTGTCGTCTAAACCTAGAACATTCACACGGTGCAGATGTCAATGTTTTCATATGATTTGGAGGTGAAATTGGAGCTTCTCTCTCTAAATTTCTTGTAGGTGCCCCCCTTTCGGATGTAGCATTTCATTGGAATATGAAATTGCAAAATGCGAAATTTCACTATCCATCTCTAGCCGCAATCACCAAGTCTAGTTGTAGCTTCTTGATGGCAGCAAACCTTTCCCGCCCCAAATTCAAACTCCGACAGGTTGGCAGTTCCGACTACCTCAGCCCGTACCTTGACGGAGGGAGTCGGAACCACAATCAGGCTGAGGCTGCTCTTAGTTGTTACTTTTTATCCGCGTCGCGTCCCGGGATTCAATCCTAGAAATGTGAGTATTTACTGTTAAAGCCCTTTTGGGTGGCACTTGCTGTGCCCTTTTCAATGTTGTGAGTTGTGAATTGGGGTGACCGGCAGGCCACGTAAAACCTAACCTCTTTCCTTTCCACCGCCAAACAATGATTCACTCCTCGCGTTTCCTTTTTTCTGTTAAGGTGATTCGATGGACGCCATATTTTGTGTCAGAACGGCATGCGATATATCGCATCGATTGGTTCCATTTTTTCAGCTACTCGTCACTTTTCTCCAATTTTGGGTTGCAATTCTGTTGTCAGGAGACTAGAGCACTCACTTACCAATTTTAACAAAGCAATTCTACGTAATAAAGGCGTGGTTTTTTAGAAAGAAAACACGCCTTTATTACGTTGAATTTCTTTGTTAAAATTGGTGAGTGCTCTAGTCTCCTGACAACAGAATTGCGATCTCAAAATTTGAGAAAAATGACGAGAAGCTGAAAAAATGGAACCAATTGATGCGATATATCGCACGACGTTCTGACACAAAATATGACGTCCATCGAATCACCTTAATGTTGAGTCTCGTCACAGCTCAAAGTGGATGGTCGATCGTCGTCGCAACACGATGTTTGTGGGATACAGGGAAAAATGGTCAAGCTGTTGGGTTCTCATTCGACATGTTGTTTTAGACTTTGGCTCAAAACAAATTTCTTTTCAGTAATGTAACGGGACTCACTACCGGTAATTCGTCCATGATAACCCCAAAATGCCTTTAAATCAAGTTTATTTTCCAGGAGCTCATCAGGATGTGTTTCTTTTTGGATTCAATGACTCGGCAGACACTATACTCCAAGAATCTGAAGAGTTTTTACTTTCAACTCGAAAAGTTTAAACTCGTTCAGGCAAACCGTGCCGGGAGAATGATACAAAAAATCGGCGAAATCGCACGATGTGGCGCCACTCCGAAGGGAAAAGGGGCGTTTTAAAAATGATAGAGTACATTTTGTTATTTTTTCGTTAAGTCAGTAAGTAAGTAAGTAAGTAAGGCCGGGCTGGCCGGCGAGGCGCCCTCAAGGGGCCAAGGCAACTGGAAACTGCCGTCGTGCACCCCGAAGTTGGACCGTACTCCTTAACATATCTTCGTACTATTGACACATTGAGTATCATCTATATTTCTGCAAGGCTCAGCGGCCGTCTGATAGCCAACGGAAGGTCTTATCAAAGACTGTGGCAGACGCTGCAGAGCACGGACTTTCGGAGCACGGCCATGCCTCCACCGAGTTGGACTGTGTTGATGCAATCTACACTGATAGGTAGCGCTGGCAGTCGCGCACACTACGAGTGATTACCGATTTTTCACAACCCAGTCGAACAGTGCAGACGGATTACTTACTGGGTGACTATGTCCCTCCCGCACCCTGTAACCTCAAAGGGTGAGGGTATTGGAGTGGCATAGTCATCCACAGTCACGATGACTGATATTTGAGTGTCCTCAAATATCAGTCACCTCCGGGGATTGAACCCGGGACCTCAGTGCTGGCAGCGAACTGCCTTGACCACTACACCACTGAGGCTGACCTTTTTCGTTAAGTACCCTGTATTAGTGTTACCTCAAAAAATGTCAAAGCCGTAGCAACGATTTAAAGGGGGGGGGGCCGGGGGAGTTCGCGATGTCTAAGAGAAACGCGACTTTTAAATGTTGAAGTTCCCGACGGGAACTTGTCGGCCTCTGTAGCATCACTTATTTAGGATGATCAGCAGGCTCATTATTTTCCGCGTTAGTATTAAAACCGTTACGTTAACGCCGTCGTTAGCGGCAAAAGTTTATAATCGAGCGATTATTTCACTCCGCGCCGATCCTTAAACCGTGGCGGGATATTTGAGTCCGTCGATAAGTTAAAGGTTGCTCTACGGCAACCTCTAAGCTAACGATTCGCGGCAAGCTAACCTAACCTAACAACGTACCCGCGTCACGTGAAGAAAAGAGATTTGATTAGAGGAACCGTGTTGTTTTCAACTTACGCCATCGTGCAGTTGGAGCGCTGCTTGTATCATAAACGCTCTCTGATTGGTTGATTATTATCTCTCACGTCGGCAACGTTGGGGTCCAGATCGCTAACTTAACGACACTAAGTTATCGAACGATGAATAACGATCAGCGAAATTCGATGTAAATTATCGCTCGGCTAAAGGACGTCGTTAGTAGGGCTGTTCTATCGGTTGTCGGTAAGCTACCGAAACAGTTCCGACAAGAAAATGTTACGATAAGAGCGCTTGCTGATAGCGATCAGAGTTTTCGGAGGTGACGAAAATAAGCTGTTGCCATGTGTACATCTATTTTACGCGCCGCCGCGCCAGGCAATCTGATAAACCGACACACGGGGCAACAATGCATTGAGTGCGAGCTCTTAAAAATCCGATAAGGCCGGCTGTTAACGATATAATCGCCACTGTCGGTACTGCAGCCAGTTTCGGCAAGAGACGATATCAATAGTGTTCCGGGAAGAATTCGTTTGAACACTCCTAGTCGTTAGAATTCAGTCGTTATCTGTGAGTCGCTAACTTATCAACTCGGATATCGAAGCGGAAAATAATCAGCCTGCCGATCCGGCAAAAAAATTTTGTAGGTTCAATTCACACCAAAAGACAAGTTTTGGGGGGATGAAACCTTTGATTTTCGAAAACTGAATGAACAAATATCGAAAGATATTGCGTTACGTCACGTTTTCTTTACATACCTGAGGATGACTTAGGAAGAGCGGGAGAATAGGCTCGCAGGAGGGGCCCTACCCTAGGTAGAGTGGAGGACCCTGGTAGAGAGGGGGTGGTCATGTAATACGGTTGATGGTTTCCCGAATTTGATTTACTACCCTGAAACACCAATGATAACATAAAAATTAAATTTATAGAAACAACACTCTTACATAGACGCGTACATAATGCAGAGGGCAGAACCGCGGATAGCTATGCCACCGCAATACATCCTGTTTGCCCCTTTAAGGTCCTCGGATGGGTGCCGGGTGGGATAGGGATAGGATCATCCGCTCTCAATTAGTCGACAGTGTTCGGCTGTGTTGTGAAAACTCGTGTAGAGTACCTTTTCAGGGAGAGTAGCAGTGTAACAGGCAACGTCCGAGTTGGGTCCCGTGGTACCGTGTCGGTGATTAGATAACCGAGTTGGGTCCCGGTGGATTTTGCTCCCGATCGAGTTGGGTCCCAATGGACTTTGGTCACTCCTAACGTTAAAGGAAGATAGGAGTAAATTCGGTAACCGTGCCTAGCTATGGAATCGCCGAGAAGCAACAAAATCTTTTTTCTTTTTAATTTTTTATTTTTCTTTTATAGAAAAAACAATACATTTATTCCTATTCATTTTTATAAATCAAGGAAACAAGGAACGGTCACGTTTTGTGACCTAGTCAGTACAAATAAAACAATCTAAAAATGACAAGACACTTACGACGGAAGGAACTTTTTAGAAACTAAGCGAAGAATGCTTTAGAATGACCGTTACGGATAAAGGGCACTTGGCGGGGTAAAATATCTCCCGAGACGTCTAAAGTTGGTCGCGATTTTGCTTAGAAGCTCTGGATTGCAACGGTGCCATTTTTTCGGGTGAAAACCTTCAATCGTGACTGCATTTTAACCTATTTCAATGAACTTTTCTTTCAAATGCCATTACTTAATACAGACTTCTGTATATTAGATTCTGGGTGTTCGGTTTCACCTTCAAAATAATAATCATTAGAAATCCAATCACAGTGATGAATCCGGGAGCAACAAGCTCCGCTGAATTCCATTGGCCCCAGCCTCAGAATGAACGCGAGGCAGCGCACCAATCACGAGCCGCGCGCGAGCGCGAAATTCAAAACGTTCAAAAACTTAATCTCTCAGCGCCCGCCAAGTTCAAACTCGCCTAGCGGTGCTCCCGTGAAGTTCAAACTCGCATAGCGGTACTCCCGCCAATTTCTCACACAGCGCTCGCGTCGACCAATCACAGCCAAGCTCGCGGCAACGCTCTCTCACGCGACCGGTATAAATACTGGGACGCTGCGCTCCATGAATTCACTTCTAAGTTAGGCGCCGTCCGATCAACACCCAGTCTCCAGATCCAGCCAAGCAGCGAAGAAAGCTAATCAAGACCTAGGAAACGAAGACTCAACCAAGTTCAAGCAGCAGCCAGAAAGGAATCTCGAACCCAAGTCAAGAATCAAGTTCCTCGAGCAAGGTCAAGGAGCGAATTTGGCGAGCAAGCTGAATCAACTCATCTATAGCGATCGGAGCGGCTAATCTCTCAGGGTCATCACGAAATCACCTTTAATATTCCACTTTTGGCAGTTCGATCTAAATTCACCCAGGAAAAATTTCAAGACATCTCTAACTAAATTCACGTTTGTATCAAATCCTCCAACCGGAGAAGCCGATTCATTTATGAATCCGGAGTAAAAGTAAGTGCAATAGCACAGAGTAGTATTCAAAATTTCAAGTCCTTTTGACTTTCCAGCGCAAAGTAGAAGCCGGCGCATTACGTGCCTGGTGGCCCTTCAGGTCTCCTACCCATGGTAGTAGCCGGCTCACTTTGAGCCTGGTAAAAATAAAATCACCTGGGACAGGATCTTTCTGATCAATTAAAAATAGTCTCTCACTTGAAAACCGCATATATTATTCCATTTTCTCTTTCTTGTCGATCCTTTCATTCTTTGATCTCTCGGTAGAATCACCTCCAACCTTTTAGGTCTAGCACATGTTTCTTCACCATTTTTGAGCCGTCATCCCATATTCTTTGGTCCCTCGGAAACTTATCACTTTTTGGCTACACTCATTTTTACTGGTATTTTTTTGACCCGCTCAATCCTTACACTGGGTTCACTCATTGCTGAAGGACGCTTACCTACGCGATTTTAGCAGTTTTGGTGGACACAAAAATGCGGATTTTAGTTCCCAAAATTGTTTTTCTTGGGGGGGGGGGCGACGGGAATTCAACAAAAACTCACTTAATGGGATGCTCACTTTAATCCCTCTACCTCTTTAACTTCTCTACAAACAGAAAGAGAGCGATCTCATTGGTGGAAAAGGGTGGTTGGCATGGACAAATGAGGTAAGTAATTGATTAAGTAGCGAAAAAGCACAAAATACCTTATAATTAGTCCATAATTTTCTCCCTTCCATTAGAACCACTCGTTTCAACCTAAAAGATCGCTTCATCTTTCGTACTCTTTGTCTATCAATTTTAAAACTCAGTCTGCTGATCTGTTAGTAATTACCGTGTAGCCGATGAAAACCCTCCGCAAGAGCAGGCAATTTCTCTTGAATTAAACAGATGAATAAGCCCTGTTGTGTCGCACAACTAGAATATTCTGAGAAAAAGATGTGTATTTCCGTGCTATTTCGTTCCGTCGAATTGATTCTTGAAGTTTGCCGACATTTATATTTCAAACACTCCGACTATCTCCTGTGATCTCAATATGAAGTATCTCATCACGATGACGCGGCTCGACGCAGAGAGTGATGATGAAAGTTCCCATTTGACGCATTGCAATGAAAGCCGTTGAAAAGCTGGCCATCTGTCAAAATTGCTGAAATATCTCGAAGGCCGGGCGAAAAAATTACGGGTCGCCCATTGGTCACTCTAACTCCAGCATTTAGTGTGCATCACGACAGTTAATAGGTACGATTCTGGTTTACCGAAGCACCTTTGTAGTAGAGAAAGTATAGCAACTAGGGCCTCTCCATGGAGACCTTTAGGCACCAAAAAGCTGGCGCGAATTTTAAATGGCAGGGGGTTGTTGCCAACCTTCAACAGCTACTTTTGGTTGCACTCCGCTATCAAAAAACATTTTACGGCGAAAAAAGAAAGGTGCGACCTCAAAAATGCCAACTTTTCAGGGAAGCTGAAAAACAGACTTCCCTTTACATACAAGCTGGATACGTTCAAAAGGAGGGCATGATACGTAAAAGAAGAGTTGAAACATAATATGGCCTAGAAGCATCGTTTTTGTGAATGCAGTGCGATATGAACCGCGTTTAGGAGAAAAGAACCAAGCCACATCAGCTAATGCCAAATTTAACCAAACAATTGAATTTTTCACGAGAGAACATTTAAGCGAATGCCTTTGAAAATGTTAAGAAATTTGCTTCGTGCTACTCAGAAAATTCACTGAAAGCACAAAAATCCGCACAACAGTATTCATATCTATCTATATATTTAATATCCTAAGGCCTTTTGTGGCCTCCTACAGTTTGTGCTAATTCGATCTCGGAAACTACTGGACCGATTTTCCTCGGATTTATTTTAAAAGAAAGCTCTTAGGCTGCAGATGTGCAGGCTACCATCGGTTTTTAGATTTGCGCGACCGACGTTGCAAAATTTACCTCGATTTGATGACGACATATTCGCATATTTGCCGATGGACAGTTTGTGCTAATTCGATCTCGGAAACTACTAGACCGATTTTCCTCGGATTTGTTTTAAATGAGAGCTCTTAGGCTGCAGATGTGCAGGCTCCCATCGGTTTTTCGATTTGCGCGACCGATAATGCAAAATTTACCTAGATTTGATAACGACATATCTGCCTTTTTGCCGCTGGACAGGTTGTCCCAATTCGATCTCGGAAACTACTGGACCGATTTTCCTCGGATTTGTTTTAAATGAAAGCTCTTAGGCCCTAAATGTGCAAGCACCCATTGGTTTTTCGATTTGCGCGACCGATGTTTCAAAATTTACCTCGATTTGATGACGAAATATTTGCGAATTTGCCGATGGACGAGTCATATGGTTGGGGGACCTCCCACCCTCTGATTTTCCGTTTCCCTCTCCACGTAAACCCATCCCTACCTGCCGTTAACGCGTGTCACCCTTCTACTCTGGCATGAGTCCTGTGGCAGTATCCCTCCCTTCCTTATGCCGTCTCACTCGGACCACCTGCTACGCATTTCCTCCGTCGCATTGCTCATAATCAGTTCTCGGTTTGTCCAGGTTTCTTTTTAGTGCGTCTGGAATTTAGCTTTCTTGATTTTGTCTTTAGTTTTTTTACAAGAAAATTATTTAATTTTGATGTGTATTTCTCAGTAAATAATTTTCCTTTTCACGGCAGCACAGGTTTTATTAATAATTAACTTTTTTACAGCAGCTCTTGTGTTCTTCCAAGAGAATCGGCAATTAATCTTTACTCTTTCGCACCGTTAAATTTTCACAAAGTGTTTTGATTTTTTTTTCCAGGAGTGTTTTTTATTTCTCAAGGATGTTTCTTTTTCTCGAAGTAGGTGGTTATCGTTATTAGTTTCTTATTCTTTGTTTTTGAGTTTATCATTTTGCCTCCAGGAAGTCCACTAATTACTCGTAGTAGCAAAATTTGGCTCGCTAAGCGAGCCAACATTCACTCGCGGAGCGAGTGACTGGGGGTCCAGGAGGCGAAGCCACCGGCTAGCGGCGCAAGCGAGCGTAGCGAGCTGAAGCAGCTAGTCTGTATATTTAATATCCTAAGGCCTTTTTTGGCCTCCAACAGTTTGTGCTAATTCGATCTCGGAAACTACTGGACCGATTTTCCTCGGATTTGTTTTAAATGAAAGCTCTTACGCTGTAGACGTGCCAACATCCCTTGGTTTTTCGATTTGCGCGACCGACGTTGCAAAATTTACCTCGATTTGATAACGACATATTTGCGTTTTTGACGCTGGACGAGTCATATGGTTGGGGGACCTCCCACCCTCTGATTTTCCGTTTCCCTCTCCACGTAAACCCATCCCTACCTGCTCACAACACGTGTCACCCTTCTACCCTAGCATGGGTCCTACGGCAGTTTCACTAATGTCGGGGGTCGGCTCATGTCTTCTTCCAAGAGAATTGGTGATTTATCTTCACCCTTTCGCAC